GGCGGAGAAGGACGTGACGAGCTAACTCCAGCGCGCGGTGAAGGATGTGACGAGCTAACTCCAGCGCGCGGTGAAGGATGTGATGAGCTAACTGCAGGGCGCGGTGAAGGATGTGAGGAGCTAATTCCAGTTCGCAGAGAAGGACGTGACGAGCTAACTCCAGTGCACGGAGATGGATGTGAGGAGCTAACTCCAGTGCGCGGAGAAGAAAGCAACCAACTCACACATAAATTGTGTTACCAGGGAGGGCATTTTATGTATGAAAATAAGGTAGGTCTGTCCATTTAGCCTCAAGTGTGAAACACATGCACACACAGGCCCTAACTCAAATAGAAATCCCAAGCCCCATGCATTAGCTGGATGGTCCAGTGACTTAACCCACCCTGGGCCGCTCATCCTATGGCCCGTCTTGGGCCTCCACAACATTGCTTTGCCCCCCCCCCCCAGCAAACCTATGGGGCCAAAGCAATTCTGTCCAACAGGCTCAAAAACAAATTAAAGAGGATAACCTGCCGAGGGCCTCTGGGCACCCATGTTCCCATTTTACTTTCTGCTGGAAAACCGCCAGACCATGTTGCGGGGGTAGGGGGTGTGGGGATGCTCTCAGACCAAAAGGCAATATCACTTCTTGGACGACATCGGGGGCAGAGGTTACGTTTATGTATAGTATAACAAAGCGTATGTCACACAACACCAACACATCTCTGTCCGACATTTGAAAGAATAGGCAACATTTCAAATCAGTAATCAACCAGTAAAAAGCGACGGCCAATGAAACGCGTGCCCCAGCCAGCCAGCCAGTCCGAGGGACTGTGCACAGCCAGCAGTGTCACCACGGCGACAGCAGCATAAATCACGGCGCGGGAATTCGGAAGACACAGGACTCACTCCGGGACGATTCCAGTTCTCGATCCGTGGCCAAAGCTGAAACTGAATCACCTGCAATGGGTGCCGTAGGCTTCCTTGTTGATCTCCCCTGATGGAAACGGAGCGGGGGTGTACGAGGCAGCTTTCTCTCCAAAAAAATCACCGCCACATCTAAGCTGGTCGGGAGGTAATCAGGTCATGACGGAGGGTTGGGGAGATGCCAGGATGCAGCCAATGAAAGCTGTGGGGGCGCTTTATGAGTTTGCGGCGGATGGAGGCCGGATAAGCTGGGCGTGTACAAGACGGGAGAGCCCCCCCCTCCCGAAAGGGTACGGCGACAGCTCGCCTGCCGGGACCTGATCCAAATGGCTTTTGGTCACCGATTTGGCACCATTTCCTTCGCCACTTGTACCCCGCACTGGCTGAGATGTGCATCACTGGCTGCGTCCCCCGGCCCACCCACCCCCCATAATCATCTGCTGGGATTTAACTGAGCCTGCGAGATTACCTCTGATCCAGGTGGGGGTGCTGTCCTGTGGCTGCTGTTCCGAGACACACATCTCTGTGGGAGCCTAATCGTCTCCCTCACTGCATTTACGCAGCCGCTGTGGGGGGGGGGGGGGGGGGGGGG